TGGCCAGCCCGAGAGGGTGGGGGAGACAAAGGAAGGTCTAGGAGAGGGGAAGCTCCAAGAGGGGAGGAAGTTCCAAGAGGGGGGGAGAGGTTCCAAGAGGGCACGTGGCCCCTCAGAGCCCCCTTATCAGGGGCTTCTAGGTGGGTTGGGATAAGGCATGGGCCAATGGGGTTACAGACACTAATGTTTTAGGGGAAGGTACAGAGGTGTGGGATGAGCCATACATCTTTTGGGGGGTGGGATGGAACAGTCCATTTCACCCCAGGACTCATCCGAGGGCAGGGGTGTCATCTGGCTAGCTGGGAGAACTGTTCTCATCCTAATGTATTATTTATGAACAATCATATTTATCTATCATCTGCAACAGCTATGGACTTAAATGACAGCAAGGGCAGACATCAGCAGTGTTGAAAACTAAACATTATACACTGTATTTTAATCAAGACAGATTTAAGTAATTAATCTGTGTTTTCAATGATCAGTTTTCAAAGAAACATTTAAAAATGTGGGATTACTATTTATTCTCTGGGGCAGGAACACCTTTACTGATGGGAGAAGAGAACAGAAGGAAACTCTGAACTGCTTTAGTATCCGTGTAATGAAGTTTTTGGCATTGCCTCTGTGATCACCCTCTGTCCTACTGAGATGTTTTTGAAAATACAAAAAGTAAGGGTCACTTTTGTAATAGGATGTAGGTCCCTCAGATGGAATGAAACTCATTGTCTTGAGCCCCAATGCTTTCCACTGCCAACTCTCTTCAACATGGCACATGTGCCCCAGTCTTGGGAACCTAACAGTCTGTCTCAAACTGTCCTTAATATTATGAAATTAATCTTCCATTTTCTTCTATTCTTGCTTCTGTTTTCACTTCACCATGAATGATTTGTTGCAACATACCTTACTTTTGTTTACTGCCCAGCTACTGGCCTATAATAAAGCAAGAAGACAAGGGTGTGTAAATACCAAGAGTGTACTGTCATTAAAAAAAAAAGAGATTGTATTAGATTTCACTTTCTAGACCAGAGACAGTAAACCACTACTTCTAAGTGATGGAGCCATGCCATTTTCTACTTGAAGGACAAGACAGAGAAGAATTAGGTCCTCAGCTTTTGCTCTTGTCTCTGACTCCTGGTTAAGGTCATGTCATTAAAATGATGCTATGATGACACATATACTTTTTTGTTTCGCAGAGGATTATGGCTTCAAAAATTTACTTCAAAGGTGATGTGGATGTCCTGAGTGCTCTATAATTTTGAAAAAACACTGTTGTCTTGTTTGAGCTGTCACTACAGTATTTGACATGAAACAGAAAAGAAAAACAAAACTGTATTTTGGAGGATGTGAAGAGATTTGAATCAGTTTAGAAGGATAATGTTTCTTTAACTGGGTAATCTATATGAGACTTTCCTACCAAGTATGAAAGGTTCCATATCAGCCACCTCTAGGCCAGTCTAAAAAATATTGCAAATTATTTAGGCAGTCATTAAATATGACCTTTGTTCTTGGCAGCAGCACAAGGAAAGCAAGAAACAATTAAGCAAGTGACTGTGGAAAGCACTACTGACCGATTTCAACACTGAGTTTGTTTTCTGCTGTGAGATGTTTTTTGCCTCTTGTAGTTTCATTTTCCCATGTTGGAACAAAGACAAAGATATCATTTTAGTGTCTACAAATCTAGTTATGTTGATTAGCATTATACATTAGAACTGGCATCAGTTATTTTCATGCAGAGTGTAGCATCCAGCATTACTGTTTACATTTTTATGTTTCTAGGTTATGAATTTTTTAGTAATTCTCTGAAATTTGCAAAGTAAGCTATAGTGTATTGCTGAGTTCTAGAAAAAAAGAAAAAAAGCAGTTCTGGGCCAAATGCTCCTTCAAGGCATAAGAAATTATTAAGAAAAATCTTTTGGTCCTTTGTACTTTCATCTCACTGAGCTGAACCAAAACAATTCCTCAAAGAATGGCACTGGACATCTGCCCTGACTACTGACAGGTGCTAAAGAGACTTTCTAAAATGCCTAAGTATTGAGCTACCAAGCTCCTCTTGATTCTCATGAAATTAGGCAGCTCAGTACTTGGAAATATCCCACTAGGTTAACACTTCTAAGATGTTTCAGAAAGATTCAGCATCTTTTAACACAAGGACCTAAATTTTATTTTTAGACATCTACTGAAAAAAATTGTCTGCTTTTCTCTTACACTAAATGCCTGCAGTAGGATGCAATACAGAAAAACCAACCTAGGGGATCCTATGATTGATTCTAAGAGAATACACATGGGAAACCTCTCTAAAACAAGTATATAACAGGCTAGTTTATCTTAAATATCTTACTTCTCATCTCAGTTTTTGTGAATGAGATAAAATATTTTTGACAGAAGAATTATAAATTTAAATAGGTTATGAGTATACAGATCTGTTTCAGCAGATCTTCACTGGGATATTACCCTTGGAAGATGATAGCACTATCAGCCCTGATGAAAGGAGAGAAAACAAAAATTTACAGTCATCAGAAACTCCAGGAATTCAAGTACTGAAGTAGCAACATATTCTTTCTGTGCAAATGGTAAAAACTGGACAGCAAGGAGTAGGTTCCCTATAAAGTCAAACAAAAATAGAGGTCTTTTGCATATAATCACATCTATTTCATCCTTTACATTGTTTACATATCACAAGAATTACCATTAACTAATTTACATCCACCATTTCTAATTAAAATATCTTGTGAATTTAACAAAAAAGTCAAACTTACTCTTGCATGGTGGGAGAACAGGCTGAGGAGAGGATGGATCTGGTGGATGAGAGCAACATATGACTCTCTGTTATCAGACACTGTGCTTTATAAGCAGAGGTTAAAAGAATTGGAATTATCTTGTCACTCAAGGAGAAGAATTAGAGAGGGAATGTCATGCCTCTTGAAATGTGTAAGTCATTGGAAAAGTGGAATGGAGTACTATTTATCAGAATATTCCCTATGGAGAGGATGAGACCTAAAGAGTTTCAAATGCAACAAGGGAGACTTAAGTTACATGTTAGGAGAAAAAGAGTTTAACTGTAAAGGCTGGGAGATAGGACGAGGAGGCCAGAAAGTGGTCTTAATAACATCTGCTGCACGTGGAAAAGGTCTGGCTGGCTCTGCCACAAGGCAAAAGGATGAACTAGATGAGCTCTTGGAGTCGTTTCCAGCCCTCATTGATGTGATTCTGAGATTTATCAGATTAGAAAGCTTTTTTATAGTTATATTGTCCACCAGCAGTAATATCTCTATCAAAACCACGTTATTCATGGGACGCATGAGCACATGAGAATAGAAGTTTTCTGAGGACTGAAACACTGCATCCATAATTTTATATAATTTCTTAATTGTAAAACAGTGGTGTGGTCTAGCTCAAGAAATTTGGGAGTTATCAAGAACCCTATCATCAGGAACTATCTGTTTTATTTCAATGTTTCAAAGGTTAGAGGCTAGATGTCCAGCAGTAGTTTCATTTCTATAGCCTAAACAGTCACTGAGATGCTTGCTTATGCAGAAAAAAAAAAAAAAAAAAAAAAATTACATTAAGAGAGTTATTTTTTGCAAATCTTTAAATAATGTATGAACTTTCTTTCTATTATTTCATAATGTGTACCCTTAAATAACATGCTGTTATGCTAGTCACATCATGAAATGAAACCAATTGGAAACAAATTAATACCAGATATAGTTTAATTGTCCATGTAAGTAAATTATGAATGGTAAGCAAATAACTTTAATAGTAATAAAAAGGTTTAATACTGACATTGCATCATACTGAAGTTAATTTTTAGCACAGATGATGATTTGTTTGAAGAAGAAGCAGTTTAACTTTGATAGTAAATACAGCTTTCCTCCTGCAGAGGAGATGAGAGTATGAAGGCATATTTCCCAGATACCTATGTTATTGTAGAAAATAATTCCTTATGTGCAAGGGAATGTTTCTCCTGCATTAAACCATTAATATAGACGAGTGGCATGCAAATGGGAATGCCTGCATATGGATATACTGATCTGGTGCTTTCTTTGGTCTCTCACATACAGGCAAACAAGAACCTCAAATGAAATCTGGGCCTAGGAAGAGCTGCTCTACATGTTGCTGATTCCTGAACTCCAAAAACAAGCTACTTTATCTGAATTCTCATCTTGTTTTCCTTGAAGAGAAGTAGTCTGCCACTCTTGATGGGAGTTCAATTTCTTATGAAATGTATGCCATGAATGTATGCCAGTTTAAATATCAAAACTGCTCTGTGCATTTCCATAGAATTGAATAATAAAGATCTCTCATCATCCTTCCTACAGAGCACTTTAAGTGCCACACCCCAGCCTGTAATTTATTGATAGAAAGAAAGGCTACTGCCGTAGTTTATCAGCCTTCCCCCTGTTCCCAGGGGAGGCTGAGGATGCAATGCAGCCACCCAAGCAGCTCCTTGCTGTCCCTGCATGCAATCCTTGCAGAGAACAGGCACTCAGGTGGTGCTTAGACATCAGTGCATAAAGAACCTTTCTCAGTGCTCCCAAAAACTTGCCCCCATACTCTCCTGCCTGCAGATACCTCCCTGTCTTCTTCAAGAGGTCTGGCCCTTTGCTTCCATTCTATCTCTTGTAATGAGCTGTATTTGGATAATGGCTTCCCCTCCCTCCACCCAGGCAGCTGGAGTCATATCCTGTCTTCCTGCATTTTTTTATTTCTGCACCTCATCAACACTCATTTTTTGTAAGTGGTTGGTCTTTGCAGATTGGACTTCCCTCAGCATGTTGAAAAAGCTTGCCAGCCTTGTGGAAGAGACCAGCTTGGAACATAAAAACATCTGATAAAATGCATTATGAAGCCCATTAAACTCCCATCATGGGTTGTCCTTTATCATTAACAAAAATGTTTATGATCACACCCTCCTCTTGAAAGTCCTGTCTGAAAGCATTTAATGTCTTTACATCTCGTCTCTCAATATTTTTTTACCTTATTCATCAGATCCTTATTTCTGTTCATTGTAGCACAAGAAAAAGGTCCTCATCACAATTTCCTAAAGAAAGAGTGTAACAATCAAAGTCAGATGTCAAAGTGCATCCACTAATAGCTGTTTAAGGGAGTAAGCAGGGTTTATTCATCTACTAACCAGTGGTTTTAGATTCTTGAGTTAATGACAGTCCATCAGGTTCTGTTGCTCAGCAAAAGCTGGAATCAGAAACAAAATGTAGCTGAGACCATTTATATTATTCTACAGTGTGTGAGTTTAATGTGCTGTACTTTGAAACAACTCTCATTTCACTTCTATAGAACTTCTATAGTGTAAAACATTATATTCAATGAGTAAATCAGTAATTATGTTCTTGTAGTTTGAAGAATCACTTACTTCTCAGAAAAAAAAAACCATCAAATCAAAGCTATAATAATGAATAAGGAAGGATAATTCAAGCTATGTTTTTTTGTTTCTTACTGCTCTGGCATCCTTCCTTCTATGCTTTTCTGTTCAGCTTAAGTGATTTGACTTCCTGAGCCATTTTTTTAGACTAAAAAGTGCTCTAATTTTAGGTTTATCAGATGGCTCACAAGACATTTTCTCAGTGTAATTCTGTCCGTTTCCATACAGTCATTACTGTGTTGGGGGTCAGAAGAAGAAAGAACATTTAGACTCTATTTCTAATTCATCCTTTGTATATTTGCAGGGAATTCAGTTCCAAGAAAGCTCTAAATAACAAAATGCATGGCCTCACAACATGCTGCGAAGTGCTCATTATCTGAATACACTCTGACTGCTTTTGCAAACAGATGCTCCAAATACTGTTCTTAATTAAATATCAAGGGTTGGATTCCAATATTGGTCCATGCCAACAGAAGATAGCACAAATCCTGGCACTGGGCCCCAATCCAACAAAGGATGGTTGTGAATGCCTGAAACATTGCAGGCTTCCCTCTCCTGTGGGCAGACTTGCTAGACACTGAGATATAATGCAAAGAGTCAGGATTTTGGGGTGTTTCTCAGGTGCCAGGGTGGGAGTGCAGTCCAGATGGCTGCTTGACTGCAGACTTGTGTATGGATTGGGCATGACGCTCTCCAGTCAGGCTGGAGTGAGCTGCTTCTCATATCATCAACAACCACCACTACAAATTCCTTCAATATCTGAGGAAGATAGAGCAGTCAAAGTCAAGTCAGGAGCTGAAGGAAGAACTATGAGCTGAGCTTTCAGTTAAACAATTCCTCCTTTTTTCTTACCACCTGATGGGATTTTTTCTGCTACTAATGGCTGTGCAATAGTTTTTAGATAGTGATGGAGATGGTAAAAGATTTCTTTTAGGAGAGTGGAGTGACCCTTAATACTCAGGGTTTTGGTGTTTTGTTTTGACAAGAAGAAGAGATAAAACACTTGGAAGAGAGGAAAAGGAAAATGCAGGTATCAAAGGGATATATTCTTTAAGCTGATGACTTTTGAGCCACATCAACATTGCATAGTGTAACCCATCTGTTTATCTGTTTTCCGTCTAATTCAACCCTTCAGAAAAGATGGGAGGAGCACCTGTGAAGCAAACATCTGAATTTTTGCCATCATACCAGTGAATCTCATTGCTTATGCTTTATAACTCTTTCCTTACCCTATTTATATCTGATCTACCTCTATCACAAACAGTTGTAGTACAGACACTGCCTACAACTTTGTACAAGGATACCTCATATTTTGTTCCTACTCAGCATTGAAATAATTTGCTAATGTTTAACATTGAATGCATAGAGGCAAACTAGGCAGGGCCAGCACTGTAGGATTTCATGACATTCTAAAGAAAAAGCACTTGTATTCTAATTCCAGTTTTACTTTATTATATCCTTAGTTTCAGGCACTGGGAAGAATCTTCAGGGACTGCATCTTATCAATCTGTTTGCTTCAATGCTTAAGTGGGGTTTAAGGCTTTTGACAGTCATGAAAAAAATGCCCCTTTTTGGGTGAGATTTGGATGCTTAGCACAGCAGCAACAATAAAACTCAGCAAACTGGAATGCACACTCAGGTATTCCTGTAAAACTTGCATCTCTCTTGTCTCCTTGAATGGGAATGGTCACAAAAAACTTGCAGGCAGTTCTCTGCCTTTTCCTCAACAGATCTGTTGTGTAGAAATCCCTGAAGACAGTGAAAGGCACAGTGCTTTCCCCTGCATCTCCACTGGCATTTTTAAGCATTGTCCCAGGCTTTTTACCAAGCCATCTGTCTTACTCTATGCCACTTCTCTGAAATCTAAGAGAACTAGAGGGCTTCTTTGGGGAGGAAAAGAGGAGTACAGTTATCCTCTACTGTATTCTCTCAATATCTTCCTCTGGGTGCAGTTGACTACTTGAACAACCCAGCGGGGTTTCACCCTTGGTGTGTATCCAGCAGCCTTCAGGGCTAACACAGTGTCCACTAATAACTCCAGATCAGCAAACACTAACTGTGAGTCAGGAATGGAAGTGACCCATGCTTGGAAGGGTTTTGGCAGCAAAGATACAAACACATGTAGACCTGGCAGATGCTATGGAGGTGAGGGCTCCAGGAGAGGCTGGGGGCAGTGCTGTCAGTGCATGGTGCTGCTGCAGGTGGGCTTCAACCCCCAGACTGAAAGGGCCTGTGAGGTCTGAGATAGTCCAGCAGTCAGTGTATGTCCTCATCAGGGTGCAAATGCTGAGGAAAGCAGTATAAGACGGGGGGAAAAGCATGAAGACTCTAACATGTGATTATGCAAATTGCAAGGTGTGGCTGGATGTATGTGCTTTCTCAACAAGATGACTTTCACATGATTACAAGAAGCCAACAAGAGATAAAGCTGTCATCTTGCAATAACCAATTTGTAATGTTTTCCTGTTTTGGTTTTGTGCATGTGTCTACCTGCAGAAAAATCAAGTGAGGAAAAGGGAGCATTATAAAACATTATCTATAGAAACTGACTATACAAAAATTCCCCTTCAGCATTAAAAAAAAATAAAAAGGAAAATTTAGTGTTTGCATGCAGCTTATTTCCACTACAGCCAGGTAAGAAATCACATTCCTGCCATGCATTACAGGACTATTCCAGTCACAAAATTCTTTTACATGTCCATCTTCATGGTGTCTTCTCAAAAATAAATTGCATTCCCAGAAGGTCAGTAAGGAGTTTTCATTGTGCCAGAATCCTGAGTCCACTCAGTGAACAAGTGAAACAAAGATATTCAGTGCAAGCTGCTTTGAAGGGTTAACAATATAAGGGTGAGTTTTAAAAGTGTGAGGGGTAGTTGTACTCACCTCTACAAAGATAAAGCTGTTGCTTTGTATGTCAGTTACTTCTGACTGTACTTTTCTCTTTCCCCACGATTGGTGTGCATGTCTGGCAGAGTACAACTAATTGCCTTTCTGAGTATGAAGAAGGAAATTAACTTATTTTTCTTTCTATGCAGAAATGAAGAAAAATATTTATTTTATAAGTTTGGAGTTATGAGAACAAACAACATGACTGGCAGAAAGTTTTTAAAGAATTGTGATTTTTTTTTTTTGTGCATCAAAGAGGTAAAGCAATCACAGAATCTGAGCATAGAGGAAGATATTAGAAACTTTGGAAGGACTGAGCCCTTTTGATTCAACCTTGCAGTGCTTGTCCAGAAATGTTGAAACCCTGCTAAACAGACTCCTATTTATCTGCAAAAATGCATGACGCAAGTAAGGGCGACAGTACTGAGACAGTATTGCAGTGTTAAACAGTATTTTCTGCAAGTCTTTTTGTATCAGAAAAGTAAGATGTGATTCATTTAGTGTGCCTCTTTCCCCAGATATATATGGTGCCATTCCATTGATTTTTTTACAGTATAACATACAGGAGACCAAATCCCAGTGAGGTAGTTTCAGGAATTTATTACTTATGGCAACGTCCATGGTATATTGCAGCAATTAGCAGTGTGCAAGAATAGAATCTTTCTCCTCCAGAGCACCATGGTCATGACAATGCATCAACTATATGAGGATGTTGCACACTTTTATAGGCACAATTAAAAGGATTGAGTGAGTTTGCTGAATATATTCTCCATGTGGGGCAATGCTTAATAGTAATAATTGTATAATGAATGTAGCATGCAAGTTATCTTGTGTGACCTGATTAGTCAGAAATAATGTTTCCACTCTTTGCAATGAGATTGTTATCAGTTTCAATAAAAACAAGTAAGACTACACTTGATGTGAACTTTGTGCTTCTAGCGTAGTCAAATCTGTACATAAAGTATTTAAGAGACAAATTGTGAGGAACAGAAATGGAAGTAAAAGCAGACAGCTTCACAACTTGATGGCAAGAGCAATGAAAGTAGGAGATAACTAATTTTGGGAGAGCCTCTATAGCAAAATTGCTTCTCCAATTGCTTCTCCAAGAAGCAAGAAGTCCTGATTTTATCTGTACCCTAAAGGAGGCCAGTTTCAGCCTGATTTCTTTGTCCCCTGTCTAAAAAGATCTCTGTAAGGTATACAAGTTCTTCTATCAGGGATTTGTTAGACTCAAACATGCTTGACCTTCTGACTGTTCACCACACATAGGTGCTGCCCTGCCCATCTCCAATCTCAGCTTATGCTTTACTTGGAGTTATCCATACAGGACAGTTGCCAGAAGCTGAAACCTACCTCCTGCTGAGGTTGTGGTGGGCTCCCTCCCCCATCTCTCTCCTTGCACCTGGAGGCCCCACACTTCTCCTCCCACTTGACCATGTTCCCTCCTATTTCCCTAATCTCTAATTCCAGGGAAATGCTTATTTTTGGGAAAAGGCATGTACTTCAAGAGCTGTTCCTTCCTCTTGTGAGGGGAGCTGTGTGATAGCAACCATAGCAAAGCACTTATTCTGACCCCTCACATCTGCCTCTTTACTTTTGTTTGAGGACCTTCTGCTGAGCTTCTAAGAAAATACCTCATAATGAACTTAGTGCCTTCTAGACTAAATAACTTTCTCAGCATTGGTAGGTGTTTTTTTTTTTTAATGCTGTGACTGTGATTCTTGAGTATGAATGAAGAGGTCTCTGGGTCCAGGATCTGGCTGCCTCATCCCTTTCCTTCTTTCTCAGTCACTCCTGATCCATGGTGTTCAAATACCTTCTCATCTCAAAGGCTTCATCTAACATTCATTTTTTCTGTTTCACAACTTTTCATCCAGTACTGATGGTTTTTCACCCAGTCTTTTCCTCTGTCTCTTCCACATACTTTTGGGACTGTGTCCCCAACCATAGTAGTCCAAACACAGATATCTAGAATACTGAGTGTTGCTTACATCACTAAAACCAGGACCCTCCTTGTCCTTGATGTAAGGCATTTTTTAAACTCACCAGTGAGTGCTTCCAAGCCACTTTACTGCCATTTTATTCCTTGGTGTCTTCACTCTTAGAAATCCTTGCCATGACCTCTGTTGCTCTATCTGCAGGCTAGACAGACAACATCACAGCTTCTCTGCTGTTTTTCCTCCTGCTGCTTCTGTAATGCCACTTATGTCTCTCCATTTTCCTTTGGGAAGACCAGCTGCAATACCATTATCTAGAGCTCTTCCTTGCAAGCAGCAGTGTATTACTCAAGTGCAATGGCTTCTGATAGTTCAGTGTTTTGGTAAATAAACAGTTCAACAGTTTCAAGAAAGCAAATCAAGTTCCACCATCACAAGTTCATTTTATGCAGGGTCCCTTCTCTGCAGATTGACACATCTCTCATGCTGTCAGGATAGTGAGTCCCAAGATATCACATTGTACCTATTTTCCCACCCTTGTCAATCTTTATCTTCTATCTCCCAAGTTCTCATTCCTGACTGGCTTTTAACTATTGCCTTACAATTTTTGGCATGTGGCTACTGGCAGGTGTTCATACACCACTTCTTTCCTGAGCCCAAGTCCCACATTCACGTACCTTTTACTTAATTCCTGATCCTTTGCTGCTTGAAGGTGACACCAGAGTCAGATGGCCATCTTTCAAGGACTCAGGTCTCTAGTGCAGTACCTTCTGGTCCTCCTGTCAATGTTAATAAACTGCTAGAGTCCCCTTTAAAAATATAACTGAATTAAAAATGTGTTTTCACAGGCATGTGCCACAAATGAGACTATCACATGACAACAGGACAATAGCATTTGTTCACTAAATACACAGGGAATTGAATAAAGCAGAAAACAGCCATCAAGAGCTAGTCCTTGAAAAGGCACTGTCCATCAGTCATTAAATCCTTCTGCAGCACATTGCTGGTGCCAATGCAAGAATTTCAGGGAAGTGTCTTTGTATGGTTTACATTACTGCCAAAAGTCAGAAACAAGACGCTGAGCCAGCTGGATCTCCACCTGATCACCTTATAGTATTTTAATTTTCTGTGTTCTAAGGCTGTATTTACAAGCATTAAATATTCCAGGAAGTTCTTGGATGTGCTAAGACAGCAAAGATGAAATTTCAAAGGTGTCTCTAATTTAAAAGCTTAAACAGCAGAGCTGTTGATTACACATCAATAGCAACAAAATGAGAAGGACCAGAGAAGATTTAAAAAGAAAAACCTGTTAATTTTTGGTCATTGTAAGGTGGAAGGTCAAGTGGGGTCACTCACTAGAAGAAGTTTCTCAAGTTTTCACTTTCTGTTTTCTGATCTTGAGATCTGAAAATTTTGAGAGTTGCTGCTAGTTAAAAGCCCGAGCCAATACCAAAATAAACCCCAGGAATTACACTGGGAATTTATTTTGCAACTGCCCCTTGCTTGTTTATATGCTTGAGACAAATTCAGGTAGAACTATTAGAAATCTGTTTACTGAACAAGCAAAGCTGAGGAGGTGAGCACCTCCTGAGTGCAAAGGAGCATTTTGTTCATCATTAACTGACTGAGGCCCGATAATGCTGAGACATCCCTTTGTTGGGAGGATCTGAAGAGACAATCTGTAAGTGCCTGACAGCCCAGCTTGCACAGCTTTGCCAACTTAATTAACACATTTCTTCCTCTGGGGAGGAGGGAGCTTCTGAACTGATGGAAAGAGTCCCCACACTGTTTGTAAAGTCACCCAAGTGCCACCAGCTCAGAGACTTTACCAGAGGGCTAGCTAGAAGCACAGGCTGCAGCTTTCCCTTTTTTCCCCAGTGAGTACCTTGGAGTGGAAAGCAAATCTGTTTCCTGACAAAATGACTCATACAGGCTGCTTGGCTTCCCTTGCTAGGTCGGTGATAGGGCATTTGGCTGTGTCTTCCAGGGTACCTTTTGTATACAAAATACATGATACACATCTGTGATCTGGCTTTGCTCTTGCACCAGTGTGTGTGAGAGTAAACACAGCAGCTCAGGTGACTGATGGGGTGTTGCTAGAGCTAACTAAAAGAAGCAAGCTGGACAGATATGTTCAGGTCTGAAGTTCATGTCTAAGTGTGACTGAGGCACAGCAGCTAAGGAGGGAAACTGGAACTCGACATTCCCAAAGCTTGACCAGAGCAGTGGCACGTGCCTGAGCTGTGCCTGAGCTCCTAGCAGAGGGCAGAGCAACAGAGAGGTTGTATTGCAGCTGGCCTTGCTGGCCAGAGAGCCTGGTTAGCCTCCTCTGCCCCCCTGGTGCATGTGAACTCTCCTGCCAAGAGCCCCACAGTGCTGGGAAGGGAACAAGCAACAGGTCTGGGGCTGCCCCACAAACTGGAGAAAGAACTGCTGATGCTGCTTTCCTCAGTGCTGGTACACGGCTCTGCTGTCAGCTGTGGTTCTTGAATGAAAGTAATTTTAAAGAATTTAGGTCAGTTTGTTTTTCTGCACAGAGGATGCAAGTGTTCAGTGCTTTACCTAGGGGTAATACAAACAATCCCTGTATCCCTCTGTGAGACAACTTGCTCTGAACAAACTTGCTTTATCGTTTTGGTGTGCTCGAGGCTGTTGCTTTGGTTTTAATTGTTCTTATTTTAGCAGCACCTCAAAGATCCTACCGAAAGCAGGGCATCATCTTCCCAGCAATATAGAATGTAAAACAGTGCCCTCCCCAAACAGGTGGTGATCTCAGTATGTCTTGGAGGCTAAAGGGAGGATGCAGTGGAGCAAAGGTGGAGCAATGCAGCAAGGTTTTTGCCCACAGGCATCCATCAGTTTAATGGCCAAGTGGAGACTGGAGGTCGGGTTTCCTGGCACTGTGGCATGCACCTACTTTACCAGTCATCCCAATCATCACATCTGCACATTTGGATTAACATGGAATTTGTCCTCTTGCCCACAGCAAACTGTGTCTGGGCAGGCTGCCTGAGTACTTCTTTTCTAAACACATCACATCAGCCCTTCTCACTGTCAGAATATCACCTCACAAACATTCATATAAGG